GGAGAGAAGGATGAAGAACATTTCACTTTGCCACTCGCGTAAACTTTTGATCTTTATTTCGTTGGCTTTGCCCCTGTTCGTTTCTCTCTCTCTCTGAGAGAGAGAGAGAGACTCTCTCTCTCTCTCTCTCTCTCTCTCTCTCTCTCGCTCTGTGTGTGTGTGTGTGTGTGTGTGTGTCTGTCTGTCTCTCTCTCCATGTCTCTCTCTCCATGTCTCTCCACCGGTCTTGGTGTTTATGGTCTCAGATCTCTCACAAGTGTGTTTGTTTACTGCCCTAGTTCCCACCAGTTTGTTTCCAGGGTTATCATTCATGTTCTTTAGCACAACAGCAGAACCTCAGTACCGATGATAGCCCAACATCAGGAGTACGGCACTAATGATTCCTACCCCCTGCACTCTCCGCCTCGCCCCATGCACCCCTCCTCGAGAAATAAAAACCCCACCCGACTCCCAGGCTGAATGTAACACAAGCCTATACATCAAAGACGAAAGAGAGGATGAACTCATGCTTACCTTTGTCCCTCCTCATTTGGCTTTGGATATCGATATTCAGCACGAAGAACAGAGTGGATATTGACGTCGATGAGTGCCATGTGCCATGTGTCGAAGAGGAGAGGACAGTGTCGATGTATGCCGAAGCAGGCAGTTGGCATCAGTCTATAGTACTGCGTCGACACTGTTTCCAAGTGTTCTGGGGGTCTGTCACTTGGCCTGCAAACATGCACAAGTAACATTTCCAACTTGTAACACATTGCAAAAAAAAAAAAAAAGCGGAATAGTAGGAAAATGCTGGGGCTACCAATAATAGAATGGAGGTACATAACAACAGTGTACATAGATTCATGGAAGACTATATAGTACATACAGCATTCAAGGGACAGGAGAGGGGGGGGAAGATCAGTTTGAGATTGAAATGGGCCAGGGGTCATCTGAGAGAGAGACAAATGTACAATAGGAGGAACTGGGAGCTAGGCAAGGTTTGGAGTGGCAGAAAACAGTTGTCGATGGGACAAGCAGCCCCAGGCAATGTTCTGAAACGCCCCCCCGTGCGCCATGTCCCGCGATGGATCACCCTATTGCGTGTCTGGGTGCTGCTAGTAAGCCTCCCGGCCAATAGGGCGATCCACCGTGGAGTGACGATGGCTTGGGGTTGGAAGTACAGAAGCAGCGCCCCACCTCCCCCCCCTGTTTAGGCGCCTAGTGCCACGAGGGTTGGGTTGACCTTCCTTTTTCTCGTCTTTTCTTCTGTTCTCTTTGTGAAAACATGTTTGCTGGGGATAAGTAACCGTACTGTTGCCCCCCAGAGTAGGAGGGGCTTGTGTGTTTCAAACTTTCAACAAAAAAAAAAAAAAAAAAAAAGCCCTGTAGGCTTGTAGCAAATTGCATTTCACAGCCATCATGGATCAATAGCTGATCCAGTACTACACACGCACATGCAACCGTACTAAGTACCGATACTGTTTGTGGTGCAACAGCGCGGTGCACGACACCGCGCAGTGCCCCACGCAAGTCAAAGGCAAATTCCCTTCGGGAAAGTGAGCACCGCCGAGAGTGATGCGGCTGCACTCTTGACGCCTTCGGAACCGGTTGCTTCGCGAGCAACCTCTCTTCATTCCGAGGCACATGCGGAAGTCGACAGTCCTCTCTTATATTCTTACGAGGACTATGCTGCCCGGCTCGTTCCTTTGCTGGGTTCTCAAGCTCAAGGACAAGATGTGTGTGTGGCTTCTTCTCTGTCCGGCAACAGCAACAATGAATCGTCTTCAAGTGGTTCTTGAAGGGATTCGACGCACGAGTTCAACAAAGAGGTCTTGGACCCGCTGACATCTGAGGATTTTGCATGGCTTTCTCTCCCTTCCACAGGCTTCTTGCCGGGACCGCAAAGCGCAGCACCACCACCTTCGCCGACGGATGACGAAGCTGCGGTGGGGGACATCCTTGTGTATGTTAGCAAGGTGGCCCGCGAGTTTTGCATGCAGCGGTACGATGATAACAACGCACCGCTCCTTTATGTCCGCATCCAAGTTGGGCAAGCGTCCTGCAGCGCTTTGCTGGATAGCGGCGTGACTCGCAATTTCATCGGCCAGTCCTTTATCCAAAGGGCCGGCCTTGGCGCACAAGTTCGAAGGAAGCCAAACCCGGCGGCGATCAAGTTGGCAGATGGTCAGACGCAACAACTCCTCGATCACTACATTGAAGCTGTGCCGGTTTATTTCACACCTCATGCACGCGAACCGGTGACGTTTGACGTCTTGGACACGGACTTCGACATCATTTTGGGGATGCCTTGGCTTGCAAGTGCGGATCACACGGTTAACTTCCATCGGCGGACACTTACCGTCCGCGACGCCTTCGGCGTTGAGGTGTCGTGTACCATTCCTCTTCCACACCCCTCGATCCGGTGCCAAGTTGTAACGGCCAAGTCTTTTCGGGCCACTTGCGCTTACGAGCGGACCGACAAGATAGGCCTATGTTTTCTACGAGCCGTCGCGACGACCGAATCTTTACCTACGGACTTGTCTTCGTAACCCCGAGTGGTGCGGCTGCTCGACGAGTTCACCGACATCTTCGAGTCTCCTACCGGTGTGCTGCCGGGTCGGCCGATCTCCCACGAGATCATTCTTGAGGCCAGTGTCGTGCCGCCGAAAGGATGCATCTACCTCATAAGCGAGGAAGAGCTCACGGTTTTCCACGTACAACTCGATGATCTGTTGGACAAGGGCTGGATCCGCCCGAGCAGCTCACCATACGGTGCGCCAGTTCTCTTCGTACGGAAGAAGAAAGGATCTTCGCTTGTGCATCGACTACCGCAAGCTCAACGCACAAACCGTCAAGAATGTGAGACCTCTTCGGTGGATTGACGACCTTCTCGAGCGTTTGGGCGGCGCAAAATTCTTCTCGTAGTTGGACTTGAAGTCGGCCTATCACCAAATCTCGATATTCCCGCAAGATCGCTACAAATCCGCGTTCAAGACGCGGTCCGGACATTTTGAGTGGGTTGTTATGCCTTTTGGCCTCATGAATGCCCCGACGACTTTTCAAGCGGCAATGACCAACGAGTTTCGTGCGATATTGGACCGGTTCGTGCTAGTCTACTTAGACGACATTCTCGTCTATAGCCGGACATTGGAGGATCATCTTGAGCACCTTCGACGAGTGTTGGAGACGCTCCACCGCGCCAGGTACAAAGCCAACCGCGACAAGTGCGAATTTGTCCGGCAAGAGCTGGAATACTTGGGCCATTTTGTCACACCGAAGGGCATCAGTCCGTTGTCGGACAACATCCAAGCCATCCAAGAGTGGTCGGAGCCGAAAAACGTCACAAATGCCCGTTCCTTCCTTGGCTTAGCCGACCCCTATCAACGCTTCATCAAGGGATACTCGAAGATCGCGGCTCATTTATCCAAGCTTCAATGCGACGACCGACCATTCGACTTCGACGACAATGCACCACTTCCTTTTTGGCCCTCAAAGCCGTATTGCTATCCGCGGAGGTGTTGCGCAACTACGATCCGCATCTGCCGACACGTGTCACTACCGGTGTGTCCGGCTATGGCATTGGTGCCGTCCTCGAGCAACATGATGGCGTGGACTGGCACCTGATCGAGTACTTTAGCAAGAAAGTGCCCGCCGTGCACTCAATTGACAACGCACGTAAGAAGGAATTATTGGCCTTCATACACGTGCTCAAGCGTTGGCGGCATTTTCTTCTCGGTCGACGGCAGTTCCGATGGGTAACGGATAACAATCCATTGGTCCTCTACAAGACCCAAGACACGGTCAATAGCACCATTGCCCGTTGGATGGCCTTCATCGACCAGTTTGACTTTTTCCCCGACCACATTCCGAGCAAGTCAACCCGTTTTGCGAATGCTCTTTCACAACGTCCGGACCATTGTACCACAGTCTACTCAACTTTTGAGATTAACGACGACTTGCGGGACAGCTTCATCAGCGACTACCAAGTCGACCCCGAGTTTTGCGACAAGTACGCATATTGCTCCTCTCCCAATCCGCCGCCATCGCACTATCAGATCCGAGAGGGGTACTTGCTCGTCCACTCGCGAGGGAAGGATCTTCTTTGTGTACCGCAAGATTTACACTTGTGCACACGACGCTCCCGCCATCGGACACTTCGGAGTCAATCGTACGATTGGCCGACTCCGCGGAAGGGAAGCGAAGGGATTGGGTTGAGAGGCTGCCAGATGTCGAGTTGGCACACAACTCGTCCATCCACCCGGCTATTAGGATGTCGCCCTTCGAGTTCGAGCACGGCTCGCTGGTCACTTCTCCGTTGGACACAATCATTCCACGGGCGGCCGAGAGCGACGACCATCTTCTCTTCATTCGTCGGATGCAAGAGCTTCTTGTCAAGGCACGCGACCAGATGGCAAAGACGCAGCAACGCATGAGCCAACAAGCCAATCCCCAGCGTCTTCCCTGTCCATTCCGCGCTGGCAACCTTGTCTGGGTTTCCGCCGCGGAATCCAGCCTCGAACAAGATCTCTCTCGCAAGCTCCTCCCAAAATGGATGGGGCACTGGCCGATCGTGGCACCCGTGGGGGATGCACCCGAAGGACCTTCCTTTGTCATTCAGGTGCCTGCCCACTTGCCCGTCTACCCGGTCTTTCACTGCTCCAAGTTGGCTCTTTACACGCCAGCGGAACATGACGACTTCCCCGGGTGACGATCGCAAGACCCACCCTCGATGGACGGTTTTCAAGAGGTTGGCAACATCATCTCCCAGCGACGCTACGACAACAGGCCAACCGAGTACTTGGTACACTTTGCGTATTGCACCCACAAAGCTGACCGTTGGTTGACCCGTGCGGAACTCCAAGCAACAGCTTCAGATGTTCTTGCACGCTACGAACGCAAAATGCAAGGCAAGCCGGTATCTTCGAGTCCACGTCGCACCCGCGTCCAGGTTCCACCTTCAGATCGTCAGCTTCGCCCTCGACCCAGCTTGACTTCATGCTGCGCTTGGAACAGGCTGCACGGGCCATTTTCAGGCCCGTGTCGTTTTCAGCCCGAAAGCCTGAAAACAAGGGCCTACAGGCCCTGTGTCGTTTTCAGCCTAAAAAACTGAAAACAAGAGCCTACAAGCCCTGTGTCGTTTCAGCCTAAAACAGGGCCTTCCAGGCCCCGAGTCTTTTCAGCCTGAAACGGAGGGCCATTTTCAGGCCCTCATAAGATCGACCTGCCCTGAAACTCAGGCACCAGACCAGGGTTTTAGCACAGGCCATTTTGGGCCTGTTTTCAAGACAAACTTTGTTTGAGCTTCAACGCCAGGGTCTGGCACATTTTGGCATTGGCAAGAGCAGCCCTCCTGGACGGGCCAGCACTATATAAGACTGGCCCGCCCTGCAGGCTGCAGGTAGTTCATAGGGACTTCCCAGGCACTTCACATGCAGTTCAGGAGGCAGGAGGTAGTCTTCAAGATTCGGCAGCAGCACTCTGGAGGAGCGCTGCAGTAGCGTTAGCAGTAGTCTTCAGTGCTGGGCGCTAGTAGGAGCTAGAGTAGTACTGGAGAGAGAGAGAGATTGGGCGGAGGCCAGGGAGACTGACCTGCAGCGCCATGGCTCCAGCTTCGTCTTCGAGGTACCTGCAGCACAGCGCCATCTTCACCGGTTAGTACCTGGCACATGAGAGAGAGAGAGAGAGAGAGAGAGAGAGAGAGAGAGA